GGGGGGGTGACTGTTCCAGTTCCTGCTTAGGAAAATGGAGGCAAAGAAATTCCATTTCTTGGTTTTGTTTTTGTTTTTTAATGACATCTCTGTCCATCTCTGAGAGGAATTTTTATGTGCGTTTTTGAGTAAGTCCTTTTTAAGACAGTTAATATCCTTTTTCCTTAGTATAGTCAGCACTCCATGCATTGCAGATCATTCTTTTAGGCCTACTAGGTTCTCTTTACTTTGATGGGATTCCTCTCTTTAAAATGGCAAGACTGGTAAAATCAGGAAGCTAGGATTATAGGCAGCCACTTGATTTTTTTAATTCAACTTACCATCTTTTTATCATTCTTAATCATGTGCTCTATCGGTCTAGGAATATTATGTCTCATTTTTCAATTCCCTTTAGCTATTTCTCCAGAAAATGGAGAGACCGGTGGATGTGGCATACCTTGATTTTAGCAAGGCTTTCAATATGATCTCCCATAGCAGGAGCGCTCAGCCCCCACCCTAGACTGAGACTGACTGTCAGAGGCTCTGGGATCAGGAGCAGCAGAACACACCTGCAGAGCAGCTGGGACGCAGTCTGGGAGCGGCGGGACTGTGGCAGGTCACACATGGCCAAACTGAGCTGCGTCCCCTGCCACTGGGGCTGGGCCAAGCGAGTGGGGTGATATGCGCCCTGCGGTAAGGGAGTGCCTGGGGCAGGGGTAAGTGGGGGCCCAGGGGCAGGTCAGAGCCCAGGCAATGGGGAGCTCCCACACTGCACGCAACCTGGCAAAGGCCCAGGGGCCACATGCCCTTCCAATCTGTGCATGGGGCAGAGGCAGCTGCTGCTGCACCCTGGGCTTTATGCCCTGAGCCCCGTGCACAGATTGGGGGGGGGGAGCATATGCCTCCTGGGCCTCCACTGGGGTGCATGCAGTGGGAGCCTCCCTGCGCACCTGGACGAGCCACCTGGGCTCCGACCCTTCCCTGGTGAAAAGGGAAGTGAGGTGGGGCAGGTCCTGCACAGCCAGGGTGGGTGGACAGAAATGCAAGCAGCTCATCCAGGGGGCATGGGGAAAGGC